TTGGAATATTATCGTATTCTACAAGTATTTTTCGAATCAATTTATCAACAGTTCAAATCCCAATTTTTCTCAGATTATTTCTTCAACCAAAATCACATGTTGAATTGTTTCTTCTCCATTTCTAAAAAAAAAACTTCTTGAAGAACAGTGCCTACAAATAATATGCAAAATAAAATTATTACGCGAATAGATTTTATTTGAAGATTTACCACACATTTACGAAAATCAAAATCTCCCCATAATTCAATATGACAAATCCTTGGACCTCAAATTCGTATCCGCCATTTGGAAGATACGTAAACGAAAGAAAACAAAAAAACAAACTCGTGCATGATACGACAAGTCCCCATACCATGCTTCAAAGCCCGCCACCACCCGCCGAACGTCCAGGGACCCAACATTCCGCGGAGACAAAAACAGAAACAGCGACAATGCACGCGTAATTTCTCAGTGAGACCTACGCCCAAAAGATTTTCTTAAAGCTAACTGGTCATCCACCGCTTCGGACCTGCGCTGAGGGGCAACCTGGCGTGAACAGGTGCTGGCACAGGGAAAGATTTCTCCGGAAAGAAAATCAATCAAAAGAGAATCCCAGGGGCAAAGAAATGGAGATTTCCTTGAGAACCCGCTCGTTTATATCTGAGGCAATGACTGATACAGCGCTGGAGGGCAATGGAGATTCGTGCCTGTATCGTGCTTCGCGTGCGTCCGGCTGGATCTCCATTCGGGCCATCAACCACCTTATGCAACGAATCTTTTTACCGTTCTCATTCATATTCCCTGTGTGGTCAAAACCAATCGGTTCAAATCCAATCCCTTGCTCGCGGCACCTGGTATGAATTTTTTTGTTATTGCATGGTTTTCCGTCGCCAAGTGAGTGCATCCTTCATCCGAAATGGGGAGACAATCGCAAAATCAATTGCAGTCCGCGGAAGAAAATGCCATGATGATTCACGGTAAAGCGCGGAAGGGATCGTAAGAAGATCCGTGGGTGTCCCACCAGATTCGTCCGGCAGAAGTCCCAAGGGTTTCAATCCAAGTCCTCCATGAAACAAAAAAACGGCAAACCTCATCGCAGATATAATTATGCGACCCTGTTCTCCCAATCATGATACAAGTCAAGCAATGATGACCATATCGATGCGAAATTTGAGGACATCGCAAAGAAGCCTCATCTGTATCAAATAAAGGCAAAGCAAGTCGCACAGATATTGAACCTGAAAATACAACGTTAAAGCGACAATTATCGAATACATGGTTGGGCGCACAACGAATCCATCTATCATCCCGATATCGAAGGCGTAATTGGTCCTGGGGAGCTAAGATGCCTTGGAAGTCTCGATGAGATGCATATTCGGCCTGGGATGCCATTTCCTTCTATCGAAATTTATCCTGGGAATTCTGAAAATCCGTTTACCAATTCGGAAGCAAAGCTTGAAATCTTTTAACCGCAATCGTCCATGGGAAGACCGAATGATACGGCAAAGGGGGGAACTAAGGATTTCCGAACGTCCTGAAAGAAGCGAGAAACAACCAGACAGGAGATATCAGCCTGACAATATCTAGAATCTCCAATGGGAATACTCTCAATCAAAGGCCCCAAATTCTCCAATTTGGGAAGAAGAATAAATAGCCTGCCGCCAGGACTGCTCCGGAAATATTCGACCAATTATCGTTTTGAAATATTGACGATATTATTTGTCGTACCACTCCAGAAGGGGTCCAAAGAATTGTCAAGGAGCGGTTCTAACAAGAGATACTGCAGCTGATAAAATCCCATACATTATTACAGGAGAGGGAGAGCCATATATTTATTCTGCAATTCCTCAATCGCGCGAAAGAATAATTCGAATTATTCTTTCTTAATATCATAGAATTCATTCAAGAATATCTATTGCCCTGACACCGGTATTTTTAGCATCTGGATAGCGTTGCCCGTCCTAATCTGAATCCCAAGTTCCTAGAATCCGGATACATCCCCTCTGAACTAATCGCCTGACAACAGGTAAACCGTGCACTGGGAAAGATCGTACTTCAAGCCAAATTTTTCCGCTAATCTAATTTCTTCTCGAAAATACCGGATAATATCCTGAACCCTCCTTCCACAAAAGCCATCATCCGCATACATATTCCGACTGGAATGGAAAAGTTATTCCGGATGCTATTGCGGCTTCCTCTACATATCGCCGCTTGCGGGCCATACAAAATAAAGCCATCATCATTACTCATACCTATTGTCCTCTTGAACTGGCATACGTAGACCCCTCGTAAACCAAATGGGAAGCTGATCCATAATACCACGAGGATGATATCTTTCCTTCCTTTACTTTGGACAATCCAATCTCTCGCGGAGTGCACGAGGATCTCGGGACCACCCGCAACTACAACGACCAATTGATGAGGAAAGAAGCGAGTCTTAATGCCCTCAGCGCCGAGGCGAAAAATATATTTTTTAAATTCCAATTTATGAAAGACTTGTCTCATGATTATAGGACGAGCATCCCAAGTCAATGCGATGGGGCGTCCTGACTTATCAATCTTTGCTATTCCACCAAGACTCCTCTCTGCTAAGCATGAGTTCAATAAGAATTTCCGCGTCTGCTAAAATCTGGAGGAATTCGTGCAAGATATGCAAAATCTCAGAATCCAAAAATTATCCAACTACTCCTTTTAAGAAATCAGCTCGTAAGCCATCGGGCCCCAAGCCAGATCCTATTGGGAAGGATTACAGGGACTTGAATATAAATTCCAAGGGAAATTCAAGAGCGGGTGGTCGCGCCTGCATAGGAGGAGGCGCCATATCATCATATTAGGGAGAGTTTAGTCTAGAAACTTTTGATTAATAAGATCATTAGTTTCCGCCAATCCCAGAGATACCAAGCACTTAGTAATTTGCCGGGGCGACATAAAAATACCAACCGATAAATATCCACTTCATATTTTTCAGCATTATTATCCTTCGGTCCTTTTCGTCCGCGCTTACGTATCGCCATGACAGCTTCATCCCATAGACCCTACCGATCCCCTATCTTCCAGCGAAATGAAAGCGATAGCTTAGCCTCGATATTGACCCCGTTTATTCTGCCTAGAGACCGATTTAGGGAGCATGTGCAGCTCAGACCAGGCTCTGCGCACTTACTATTTCCCCGCATTTTCGCTGAGAATGTAGCACCATCCGCAATCCTGACACGTAACCAGCAATATGCGTAAACGCCGGCTACGAATCGAATATTTAAGCTCTTACCACAAATCCTACAACCGTGCAGACGCTATTATCGCAATCATTCGGCTGACATTTAGCCTTATAGTTCCCCAATGCAATACAAGTTGATATAAGCCCTTAAAGCATAACGAATATTTTTCGTAATTTATTTATTATCATTTCGTAAATTTGATCGATAGCAATGAAATTTTTTAATAATATCTATTAGAAATGAGCTGAATCATAAATTACGAATATTTTCGTATTCAATATTTTTTCTAAATTTCTCAAATTACAATTATCATAAATATATTTTTTCCGCAAAAGATCATAAAATCATGAAGCTTATATAAAATAATACAATTTCAAATTTTAGAATTTGCACTAATTTCAATATCAAAAATATAATTTTTCTGCATTTTTTTTCCAATCGTACATATTTTTTTCGACTTGTTTAAAAAAATATTTTTTCCAAATCAAAGAACGCCAATAACATTATTGTAGAAAAATTGTTGAATTTGTCTTTTTTACAAGAAGAAAAGCCTCCAATATCAGAAATCGCGAGCAATATCTTACTTGAATTTTTTTGAAAAACAAAAAATATAACAATGAACATCAATTTTTTGGCAGAATGACTCTGGCGAGACTGTGAGATTGAATGCTCTTCATATTCTTGCTCAGCAATCATGTCCTTTCCTGCTTCCATGCTTTGTGTGGGAGAAGATTCCCAGGTGCTGAAAAAAGACCTTAATATAAACGGGGGTGCAATTTAAGATTTTGGGGCATATATGACCAATGCATGTCAACATCCGAATCTGAATCCAAATCCCGAAATCTCCAACTACGCTTGCAATTTGGAACGCGGACTCCACATATAACACAGCTGATGACCTGAACGTGGTGGTCTGGAGAATAATCATACTACGCAAGCATCAGACCAAACTCAGAAATCTTCCACGCTGTTTGAGTATTTGCTGAAAAAAGGCGTCCGACAAGTATTTCCTGAGTCCTATGGGATGCACCCGTCATCCCATCAAAAACCAATATACAGATCAATTAAAAAACGAATCCATTTCTGCAGTTGTCTGTCTTTCGAACCCTGGGACCCTAACTCCTCAAACCTGAATGCTTGGGTCAAATTTGAAGCAATAAAAATTGAAATCTCCGATTGTTTTCTTCCGAATTGTACATACCACAGTTTTCTATGTGGGGATGTGCGGTGGTGCTGATGGTGGAGGTATTCGTTGCTGCAGAAGTGCTGAAGGAAGTATTACCTTGACTAAGCTCCCTGCTATAAACCAAAGACTTTCCCTTTGGTGTTGCGTAATGTAATCAGGCCTGAAATCCAAGACTCAAAGAGACGTTTTGAGCAGTGTTACATCTTGCAACCAGTAAGGGTTTCCTCTGAAAATTGACGGGGACATAGTAAGACTTTGGGTCTACCTTTCGGAATCTAACCGTAGCGTTCGCGCTACAAGCTCAACACGCAGAACGCTTTTTGCACGACACCTGCCCCTGGAAGGCTTTCAAACAATTCATGCAGATTCGCGAACCACTGGCGCTTGCAGCTGGAAATCCTGTAAGACTTTCGATCTGATAGCGCAACTTGTGAATGCAAATGCTGCTTTGCTTCCCCAACACAAGCCCAGTATTTCAGATCTCAGATCCCTTCTGCCTTTTCCAAGCGGTAAACAAGTACTGGAAATGGTGCTGTGCAAGCAAGAAATCACCCTCTCTCCAATACATGAACGATCCTTTTACAAAACCACGATGGGCTCCAAGGAGAACTCAGAAGGGATCATTGCACTGAAAAGCTGTCATCCTTAACGTACACTGTCAGTGCCCGGATGCACAAGTAGAGGAGGAAGCCCATAGGGCCAAGAAGCATGGTCAGGACAAGGCAGGGCACCACAAACAAATGGGGTACTCCTGTTTTTCTGCTGTCCAATACCTCACCCAAACCTTAGCTCGTCAGTGATCACACTACATGACACATGCAGTTTCAGGCTTAATTGTGTCAGAAACAACCAGCGCACCAAAACCCAGAAAAAGGTTTTACTCAACTGCCCACAAACCCACCAAGGGATCGAACACGCAGTAGTGCAACCAGCCCGCGAAGACGGCATCGTTGTTGCGAAACAGCTCCACGATGCCCTCCAAACTCTTGATGTCAGCGTTGCTGTCGGGATCCGGATGCGTGAATGTGTATGAGACCACAGCCCTGACTGGAAGATGGTGGCCGAAGAGGACGAAACTTCACCAGATCTTTGCAAAATCTTGAAAAATGACGTCATGAAAGCCTGTGCTACTTGCAGTAGAGGGTCGTGTAAGTAATGGCGTTAATGATGGGCCCAAACAAAGCAATCGGTGTGAGATGACGCCACTTTGGGCATAAGATCAAGACGACCCATGAAAGCAAACCTGGGTTCGGCAACATCTTCAGATACTCCACGAGCCACGGGTGAGTAAGCGCTACGGGGTAAATTCACACAAACTAGTATATTTCTTGATGTTTGCACATGATCTGCAAGGTTGTGGACATATTTCAACTCTTCACATCGCACCTGGATGACCTCAAACAAAAATCTGAAAGCACAAGACTTCTCAGCAAGTGGCTCAAGTTGGTCACCTTGGATGGCAGTACATGGATGCTCTGCTGCAAGCTTGGTACTGAAGTTGCTCATCGGGATGTTCCTTGGGTCCAGATAGTAGGACCTGCTTGTTGTTTTTGAGTGTGCGAGATCAGAAAACCACTTTGCCTTACCGTATGTAGACTTACAACATCTAAGTCCTTGTGCTTTTCCTTCAGGATGTCTCGCTCTCAATTTGTGATGACAGGCAACATTGGCATGGAGGCCCTGACACAGTGTCATCTAAATGGCACTTCCCAACTCTGACCTCAAACCTAACGGATTGGCCTTCGAAAATCAAACAGCTGCTTCACATGCTGCCGCAGAACGCGGGCAGTTCTGACTCCGACAAACCCTTGTGCAGGTCGAAGAGCTGCACTTATGCACATCATCTTGCAAAAAAAACTCGTAGAGACCAAGATGGTAAGCCACGGGCTACAAGCAGCTAAAACACCACTTGAGCTCTTCCAATAATTGCATTCGCGTGCTGGGCTCAATGAACAGTAAGTGGGGGAGACCCTCCGCAAAGGCGCGCTGCTCACAAAGCCCTCAGAAAAGGATTCACGCTGCAGTGAGCCAATCACCCTACCTGCAGGCCGAGGGTAGTTGCCCATATTTCCTGAGTGCCACTACGATGCACCTGCTAAGGCGACCTTGAATGGAAGGGCACCGAACTAGACGTTTGTATAGACCTACACATTTTCTATATGAAAGTTGCCCTTACGGTTTTTACAATGCCCAGGCACTGGAAACAAGTCAGCAGAACGCCAGCCACACACCTGACGTCTGGATTTGGCTTGAGATTTTAGACAGTAGCTTGCAGAATGAAAGGACTTTCACTAGAAGGGCTTTGTACCGGGAATGCAGACTGTTTTGAGCATACCCGCGGAAGCTCAACTTTGAAAGCGTCACAAATTAGTTGCAACTTCTTGCATGCGAGATTCTGCAGGGGGTGTGTAGGGCTTGGGGAAAACATGTTCAAGAGCTGATCGCGTCACTCGCTTTGGGAAGTTTGTGAGAGTCTAGCGCTGTCATCATTCCAGAACAAAGCACCAATATGCCAATATGCATCCTACATTCACCCTCCTTCGTCAGACTTCCAGGAATACATTTCCTCTAGGACTACATTTTCTCTAAGCTTTGAGCCCGTCGAAGTCACACCCTACCACAGTACCAAACAGAAAACGAACCTTGAGCCCACGAGGCCTTTTCAAATGTCCATATAAGCCTCAAATACTATCCAGGCTCAAATGTTTTGGAAAGGGACATGAAAGATATTCCTGGTATAGCATGGTGCTCTACACCCCGGAGACCCCCCATCTTGAAGGCCCCATATGACAGTTGAGGAACTCCCCTTTGCAAAGCCTTAAGCTAAACACGAAATCTCAAGGAACCCTAAACCAAATGCCGCTTTCTAGCACTTGCCTCGAAGACCTGCGTCTTGCGCTTGTCCTGAGACGTGTTGCTGGACTTTGACGAGCTGAAGGTCATGTCCGGCCTTGGCATCACCATTTCTTTTGAGGATGATGGAAAAGAAAATGGAACTACCATATTAGAGCAGTTTCCATTCTCTTTTCCATTATCCCTATATACTTTGTTATATCATATGCTACTGTATTATATCATACTGCATTGTATTGTGTTAAATTATAATAGGGTGTCAGGCAGAGTTTCGGGCTTGAGGTTTAAGGTTGAGGGCATTTAGTTTTAGAAGCAACAGATTGGATCTTAAGGAAGTAAGTTTCGTAGTAGGATAGGGTCTAGGTGGGGCTTTTATCTTGCAGCTAACGCTCAGGGCAACAGTCATCGTAGCACTAATAAATCACGAAAAGAAATGGCAGACGTAGGAACCATCCAATAGCGGTAGTGGTGGTAGTGGTAGCAGCAGTAGTAGCAGCGGTAACAACAATAATAAAAGTAAATGCCCTACAGCAATGACGCATCAAAGCCTTACGAACATACGGGGCAGACTCCCCAACTTGCGCAGCCATCGTGTGCAAATATCTGAAATGGAGTGGCAGCGTGCGGAGTTAACTATTGGGGCACACTTCAAAACCACAGCTCCATTCCCAGCGTGAAGCAACCAAACAAGCAACCGGAAACACCCTCAGCAACAAGTCCCAAGCATCCCTGCTCCCCACACACTTCAAGCATATTTGGGGCGTCGACGTGGCCAGCATTCCAAGGAGTAGCAGGGCGAAACATAAGCGACGCCCATGACGAGTCATTGGAGGAGACATCTTCATGGCTAGCTGACTCCGGGGGGTGCTGCTGCTAGTGTTACTGTTTTGTTCCTGCTCCTTGTTTTGATGTCCACGTCTTTGCCTTTTTTCTCGGCAGTGTTGTGTCTACCAGGCGTGAAGCTCTGCTATTTCTTTTGCTCATGGTTCGAGAGAGACATCACTGTTATTCTCAATGCTACTTCCCTCAAGGTGCAATGAAGGGATGTGTATATCTGCAAACTGCCTCGCAGCCCATAGCCGACGGGTGAAACCAACCGTTTAGCAGAAGCACCATACTAGCGGCAATGACGGCAGATTGTGCTGTTCAGAGAAACTTAACTGAGCTTGTTTTGACTACTCGGTGCACATTATGATGGCAAAGCTTGGGAACTTTAGGCCGCTTTTTGCTTCGTCAGGTAACCTGCTGATGCACTAACAGCAACGCCGAGCACATGTGTAGTGTAGGCTCTGCTGGAACCTTCCTCCGCCCCATATGGGAACTTCAGTAGTCATCCGCTTAAGCTGAACATCCAAAACCCCTAGCGGAATCACGCTAGCAACGCCGTCCGTTTGTGGCAGCCATCGCCGAAGCTCGTGTTGAGCAGGCTAAGGTAGAGCCAGACGAGAATCTCTCCAAGCTACAAACTCTTTCTACGGATCCTCACAATCAGCATCCGGCTATTCTGGAGCAGATAAGGGGTACCCGAGTTTGGTTGATTGCCGTACAGCCAGCTGCACGACGTACGATCGGACTGATGCTTCAATAGTTCCTTCTGAATGGGGGATTCTTCGGAGCCGTCGGTATCTGTCAGCGTTAAGGGGACAATGATAAGCTTCATTCATTTTAGATTATTTTAAGTATGTGAGAAGCCTCCTCTTCTTTCCCGTGCACCGAACAGAAAGTTATGATATTGCACAGACGGAAAGCAACGTTTATGATTAAATAAACATGGCGTTTCTATTGTGGGCTGTGTTGGATAGACTCTGGGTACTGCCCTCCCCCAGTAACAGTCTATGTTAGGGGTACTATTAAGGGCTATATATAACCATATTGTGATAATTATCCAACTGTACTGAGGGGGGGCAGTACCCAAGATAGACTACCCTTGCTAAGGCTGCGCTCAGGAAGCAGCTTCTCGGAGTTGTTGCAGACCATCCTTTGTGCTTGGCACCAAGGGGGTTTAGGGTTTAGGGTTTAACGTGCCATGCAATGCTTATGAGCGGTTACTGGGTGATGCAGATGCTTCCAATGCTTTTGAGGTTTTATTTGTCGCTGGATTCTTGCATGTAAAATGCCTACAACCAAGGTGAACTCATGATTAGATGTTGGGTACTGCCCCCCCTCAGTAACAGTTGGATAATTATCACAATATGGTTATATATAGCCCGTAATAGGACCCCTAATATAGACTGTTACTGGGTGGGTGCAGTACCCAAATTAGATGCCAGTTGCAAAGAGTAGCAGTGCAAGAGCTGTACGACGCCTCATTACTTGGATTAAGGTGTTGCAGCATATTCCACCAGGATTATATGAAGGGTGTAAGGCGATGATCTTCCTAATTTGTGAGGCTTCCACTCTAAACCCTACATACCCGTATGTGCAACCTAAATAATCAAAATCTCTGTATACATATTTACATATCTGTAATACTTACGTATTTGATGCAAAACACATTCGAAAAAAAAACCCTTTAACGCCTTGAAATCTATCCCGTTAAGCTCCTCAGCTGCCGTTTCCAACAGCTCTGCGGCACGCCGGGGCCGTCGAAACTCGCAGGCCTTGCCGACTGGGAGGGTCAGGAATAATGGAAAAGGAACTGAACATGGAAACGACGATATGATGTGGGCCTAGGTTGTAGGGTCCGGCGGATGAAAAAGAGAATGTGACAAAAACTACCATATCCGGGCTTTCAAAAACCGTTGTTCAGGGCTTGGGATTTAGGGTTTGTCCCTTGGACGGTCTGGGGGACTTGATAAGGCAAAGGGGAAATGAAACCTACAATGTTGTCCAGAACTCGGGCTTAGGAATTAATAAGTGAGTAAACAATGGGGATGAGCAGAGTTATCACATAGTCTATAGGGGCGACAACAAGTCCTAGTAGCTCCTGACCATCCGGGTTGTGCCAGCTGTGGGGACATGTGTGCTTGCATCCATGAATCTACGCTCAGTTGACTTTGAAAGTTGGCGACTCATACTGTTTGTGAAGATTCAGGGAGCGCACAATGAAAGTCCAATGCATGGAGTATGAGAAAATTGTTACTATTACTACTATTCTTGCTTTTCCTACTATTACTACTATTATTACTATTACTACTGTTACTACTATTATTACTATTACTATTACTACTATTACTATTAACAACATACTATTATTGGAATGGTGCCAAGGTAGCAAGGCAATCAGACTTGCTGCTTTGACTGGCGTCTAGAGGTCCTTGAGAGCTGTTACATATTGGGATTGTGTAGGGATCATAGGGTATATCCCTGGGGATTATAAGGGTTATATCGGGATTATAAAGGTTGTATAGGGATTATAGGGTAAATATTGGGATTATATAGGGATTATATAGGGATTATTACCATAATCAGACAAGAAATCGATCACAACTAATCATTGCTCAGAACTTGCGGAAGAAGCCCCGCTGCCAGTGGGTAGGCAAGCTTTGCGCACATTAATCCTTTCAGCCTAGTGCTGCGCTCCCGCATCCCTTTAAATTTCTGGGGTTGGGGTGTTGTGCCATTAGAGGGCGCTGTCAACTGTGGCAATCAAGATGGCCTGACAGAACTAAGAGTCGGTATGTTGGCATCAGCACAGTGCCGTTGTTTAGACATTTTTGGAGTAGGTTCTTTGAACGTGAAAGTTTGGTAGAACTTGTGATGGAAAGCCAAAATTTTTCAAGGAACGAACAGATTCAATCATGACAAGCCCAGATCAAACTGACACCAGGGCAGCCGCTGTCACGATGGCGCTGAAGGTTTCTGCATCCTGAGCAGTGATTCAAGTTTAGGTTTGCCAGTGGGATTCTGATCTATGCGTGAGTTCGGCGCAGAAAGCATGCTTCTTTCCAATACCACTATTAATGGGAGCACCGCTGCTGCCTCTACAATAGAGACGGAGACTTCTACTTCCACAGCCACTGCTGTTACTAGAGTACCAGCGCCGCATGCGATCACCAACGCCACCAGCCACCATCACACCACTGCTTCTGCATCAAGAGCACAAGCATAGTAGATGCATGCGACCGTTGCTGGTGCTGTTGATGGTTGGCGTCTCATTTCCAGCCAATCTGCTGATCTGCTGTCATGTTGTCGTTCCGATGCTACAGGCACTCATGATGCACAGCAACTGGCAAGGTCTAGGTGCCGGGCCATTGGCACCCTGGCTTCAGCCATCTCTGTGGAGAGCTCCAGTACTGCCTCTGACTTCCTCGCCTGATTGAAAGCAGGCTCTGAACAGCTTTGCAGGTGTAAACAAAGTAGTTGTATGACAGGGACGGATGATAACATCTCGAAATCACTGAAACATAACATCTCGTTGAAACAAAGAGACTCCTCACATCAGCAGGAACCCTAAGAAACCAAAGCCGCTCTTGCAAACTCAGACCCGTGCAGAAGCGCAGGCTGCAATAGCAGCAAGTAGAACAACCGTGTTGATGAGGACGGCGTCCTGCTTACACTCATGCGAGCACGACCTTTCCACACCCAACTCTCCAAGGACATCGATACTTTCAGAATCCCTGAGCAAATCACGCAACTGTTGACTTGTCCTTCCACATCTTGCTGAGAATGGACATGGCGAACCTCCAATCCTGAGTTATCTTAAAGCGGTCTGAAAACGTTTTGGAAGCATGCGAACTAAACGAACTCCTCTAGTGCTCATATACTTGGTGCTTTGCAAGCCTAAGCCGGGCTTCCTTGAAAAGAGGGTCCGAACACCCAGCGAAAGTTGAAGCACACCCGCTACGAGGAATTCGCACTTGCAAAAATGTTTCCGACCTCCTGTCCCCCAACATGGAACAGAGAGCTCCTTGCAGAAAGCTATGCATTCAGCTTGGAATGCAGGCTGTCACAGCTGCTGATATGACATGGAAACACAAATTGAGCACATGGCATGATGCTAGGAAGATGGGAATCTGCGTGTGGAGCCAGCAGGAATTGCAATATTTGCGCGTTTGAGGTGCTAGCATCGGGTACTTCCGAAAACCTCAATCCCATTTTATTCGTCAAAAGATTGAAATCCAAGACTGCATGGATGACAAACAGGTACCTGACAGTTCGAGAGACACCCCACCATTATGGTAGTGAGCCCGTCTCTGAGTGCTGGGCGGCTTCTGCGGCGGCACCAAGGACTGCACCAAAGGTCATGGTGTTGGCTTGCACGGAAACGTGCTCCTTTCTCAAAGCAGGGGGCCTTTTGGGATGATAGGGAACTATGGCAACCCCTCTTGGAAATCAGGTAGAGGTCGTCTTGAGCAACTTGTACACAGAAGACAAGCATAGTCATCGTCACGGTGGGGGTAGTACAAGTAAGAGTTGTAGGGAAGGTAGTCTTTGTCGTGAGTCTTCGTCGTAATTGCGAAGGAATTTAAGGCAATGGCGGTAGTGGTGGCGATAGTCGTCCACGAATTGACAGTATGATGCCATCGAAAAAATTGCATGGCAACTGCACAAGGAATGATCGCGATTGAGGATGGCGATAATGTGACGCATCATCAACTTGTTGAGAATACTGCTCAAGGTCACAAGGACTTCTGCTCACTCTACATTTAAGCGTGCGACTGGGAATTAGCATGATGCTACTAGGGTTAGTATTGCCTACATCATCATGGGCTTCTATTTCTAAGGGTAGCCCCTACACTTCCCTGAAACTACCCATGCTGATGAGAACCGAATGTCCCAGACACTGTCGAGGGCTCATATCAGATTTTGAAGAAAATGAGCTCACTTCCCATATTGGCCCTCCAAGTTCGAGGCTCTTAACATGCAAGAGGCTAATCTTTTTAGCAGAGCGATTTTGAAAAACGTCTCTAGTATTCAAAATAACAATAATGGTAAGAATGTCAGTAATAATAGTAAAAACAATAATGAACATGACGTGTTTGCACTTTGTTAATAATAACAATAGCAATAATAACAATAATGGTAAGAATGATAGTAATAATAATGAATATGACATGTTTGCACTTTGTTCTTGCAGCCTGTGCTCTGCAACTTGTAGGGATTGTGGATTCTTCCGGCGGTGTTGCAATAGGGCACTTACAGAAACCTGTGGCATGCGCAAAGCATGTCAAGATAGCTATTTCTTGAATTTCTGATTGTGAACATTTCGGGCGAGACATCTGTCTTTGTGCGCCTGCATGAGCGCATGCTCCCATGGAAACAAAAAACCTCCAAAATGGTAACCCTAATTTTGGGCAGCCCTAAACCCTATACATCCTTATATAACCCCTATATCCCGCTTTAAAGGGTACCACTACTTTTGGGAAAGCAAAAACCCTAAATCCTAAACCCTATAAATCCTTATATATCCCCATATGGCCGCTATATCCCCCTGTAAAGCTAGCTCTACTTTTGGGAAAGCCCCAAGTAGCAACCCTGCGCATTGCTAAGCCGATGACCATGTCATTGAAGAGCTGGCAGGCTGCAGACCACCTTTCCGAATTCTAATTTTAATGTAATATAGTAAAGAACTGTTGTATATTTTAGTTTATAGTATATTATAGTATATTGTAGTATATTATGGTACATTATAGTTTATAGTATATTATAGATGCACTGGTGACCTGTTTCTTCTAGGTAAGGGGGTTTAGGGTTTCCAAAATTTGGGGTACCCTTTAAAGGGGGATACAGGGGCTATATAAGGATAGAAAGGGTTTAGGGTTTGGGGGTTAAGGTGAGTAAGTATCATGGCCATAACCGGGTTATGATGTGGCTTGTAGGGGCTACACACATGCGTAATAATTCTTAGGAGGACCCCCCACCCTGTAATAGTGGTATAATAGGAATTTAAGAGGACCCTAATATAATCCCTATTCTCCCTTATAGTAACTATTACTGGGTGGAGGGTCCACATAACCCTAAACCCTAAACCCTCTAAACCCTAAACCCTAATTCCCCTTCCCAGGAAAGATGTGTTGAGATTTTGCCAAGTGACTGAGAGACGTCTGCGCAAGCAGACGCTGTGGCACTGTAGGTCACCACGTTTCCTGCCAGTCCAAACAAGGATGGTAGTGGTTTAAGGGTTTAGGGTTTAGGTTTTAGGGTTTCCATTTTCTTTTCCATTACCCCTATATAACCCCAATATCCCTGAAACCTAAATCGTAGTTTCCATTTTAAGGTCCTCGCACAAAAACGAGAGGACCTTGGTACGTTCACGGAAATACTGTAATCCTTTCTATAGGATGGCTCCAAAGAGATCCTGAACGTCTGGAGGAAGATGTCCCTTTTCGGCATCCACTCTCAAGACTGTGCTGCTCCGTGAGTGCTTTTCACGTGCAAAGGAAACTCGTACTCGTGGTATAGACGAGATATATCCGAGAACAACTCCAAAACAGACTCGTCATTGAGATTACACGGCCCCCCACACCGTCACAATGATAGGCGACTTGCTGGTTGGCTCATAGGTGGTAGTAGGCCATGCTATTTGGTAGTTTCCCAAATAAGGGGACTTTAATATAGATCCCAATATACTATAGTCCCTATAATCCCTGTATAGCAGGTATAATTCCCACTTTAGAATATCGCATCCCACTTTGCCTATGAAAGAAGCTTTGCTCTTCAAGCAGGCAACCCCTAATGCTAATACTAATACTAATACAAATAAGGGTTTAGGGTTTAGGGCACTAAAATAGTACTTATACTAATAAGATTGGTAAGGTATCATCCGCTCATTTCTGTTGTTGATAGGCACCCTGAATGATGTCATTTTTCGATTGTGTCCTGTTTAGAATTGCAGAACTTTTCGCAGAACAGGCTGTAATGTAAGGGGCCGACGTGGGTTGCAAGGCCCTTATCAGGGGGGTTCCCATTGGGGTAATATTGGGTTTACATTAGGGTTATATCAGGGTTATGTTGGGGTTATATTGGGATAATATTAGGGCTATGTTGGTGTTATATCATCCATCTTTTAAGTAGATCCCAGGTTTGACAAAACCGGGGATATGTCGCGAGCTAAGCTCCTGAGTTTTTTCGGTCCCCCCGGCACACCCTTAAGCCTTGACTGCCACATCGCGTGCGGAAAGGAAAGCCAACCGAAACAAGTCTCTTCAGCAAGAGAACATGGAAGTTTAGGAAATGGTCCTTACCTAAAATCCCTTCGTACAGTGGAAAGCCACATGTGCAGCATGTTCAGTGTCTGCAGGCATCATGTTGGATGCTCCTTGCTACAGGTGGCTTTAGCGGCCAGTGACCGCTCCAATGTACCAAGCAACCATGAATACATTCCCCCTCATCGTGGCGCTTGCTATGAACAATGCTTTTTGATTCCCGCGAACAGATATGTCTAGATCGCTAGGAGAAGAAAGTACAACTCCGGCATATCCCCACAAATTTGGGAGGGATCTCTCTGCATCCTTAATCCCAAATTTGAAGCCCTGAATCAACAACCCTGTGAGTAGGCAGATGGTGCGTTACATGTGGGGTCACATCCAATGACACATACAGGGAGAAGCTACGCCGCGGGCTCTCTAGTTGTCCCTCTGGCTGAACCTTTTCACCCAAAACCCTTTACAATCTCAAAAAGCGACTGCTGGAATCTGCATAATGTATGGGGCTAAAAAGATTATACAAGTCTGGGACCATAATATTGGCAACCATTTGAACCCCGGTTATTGTCCACTCGGTACTTCTTGCCTTGCAGGGCTGCGCTAGGAAGGCACTGGCAAAGACAAAGTGCACGCAACCACCTAAAACAGCTCGGGCCGCTCGGGGCTTGGGGTTTATTGTCCACGGTCAAGCATGCTTCTTTCGGAAATTTTGCACGGGAATGACTTCTGGGTTGTTACATTTTAATTCGATGAGAATTTGGGCCCCCACATACCACAATAGCGAAACCATTTGAATGAGCACGTTGCTCAAAAGACGCCCAAGTAAGAACAACTTAGGGACGGATGAAGGTAAAGCCAAGATCTTTAGAAAAACTTCGCTGGTCTAGGGTTTTGGCGATTTTGGGGTTTCCGAGTCATGAAGGGGAATTGTGGGGATTAAAAATGATGGGGATCTCAGGTCTCCATAACAAGGATTGCAAGACGCACGCCCATTTTGATGTTATGCAGATGTGTGTGCAGCCTTTGAAGGCTTTGAACCGTGCTTTGCATACTTCAGCTCTGGGAGGATCTCAAAAAACAGACTTAGGGAATAGTCTAGCGTTTAGGGTTAGAAGGGTTCTGTTGATTGCCAAGTTGTTGGGGAGGCCGATTCATCCAACTCCCCTACCGCAATAATACCACGCACCTTACAGGAACGAGACTTTGGCAATGTTCAGCGCAGGCCAGTTTTTAAGGGCCCAATTTAAGAACGACGGGTCTATCGATCAGGCGGCTACACTGGATCACGTCATATCAAAAGGGACTGATTACGGGAAAGCGCTGCAGGTTGCCAAGGAAATGGGATTCCTGCTATGTACCCCACCCTATCACTTGTACTATGGGTCCCACCAGAAAAGGAACCCTAGTCGTGGAAAGTCCAATATCTAAGCAAAGGCCAGTTGGACAGGGTGGCAAATCAGTTTTTGAGGGGGTCCTTCTTCGAGGGTCCTCATACTCGAGGATGACATTTTTTCGTCCATAAGGGGACCCTCTCGCTGGAGATAATCATCCGTATTTTTTAAAGAGAAAGATAAGTCAGGGGAATATGAGAGGTGCTATTTCGTGGTGATCAAAAAACTCTCATAGACTGCTATACCACGTTTACTTTACAGTGGGGACGATAATACTCCCCAGTAAAAAAAACTAATCATATGCTCCAATGGGAATGGGGAGTTTAACAATCAAAACTCAAAAGCACGAAGCCTTTTGAGCCTCGTCCTGCTTGTGAGCAAGCTTTGGGCATGAACCATATGCCAAGACCCTGGGCTCAAAGCAATTGACCCAACATTCTGCAATGTAGACCCATGATTATTAAACCACCTCCTTGTAAGGGCCTTGATTTTTGGATCCCTATTGTAATTCCCATTAAGGGGAGGGGGTTTATTAATCAGGGGTCTACTTTAATCTGTATGCTCAATGTAACATTATAGAGCCCTTAGCTCCTGAAAAAGTCTCAAAAATCTCCAGGGTCTATAGTCCCCCTTAAGTAGATCGAATATGGGGTATATGGGGATCTTATTATAATATACCCAGAGCGGTATTCTATGTACTTAAGGGGGACTATAGGTAAAAGAAAACAAGCTTAGGCGGGATTGCTTCTGAACCCTTTCAGGGTCTGGGTTCCACAGGGTGTGGACTGGGTCTCCAGCCCACATGAAACCAGGTGAGACCGACTACAGCTGTTTGGGCCCATGCGAGCAGCAATTTTTGGGAACTTGCTCAAGGCGTTGGAAAGAATTTGTAATCAATACTTTGTGTAGGATTGTTGGGGAGGCTGCACGCACCCATATTTCGTTTCAGGCGTTCTCAAACAATCACCACTCACATGAGTGTCATGGAACGTTCGAATTGCCTCCCTTTCTTAAAACGAAAGTCCCCCTGAGTGTGTTATCAGGGGAATGGGAGTGCTGAAAGAAACCCCTATATAACCCCAATATTATGGTAGTTTCCATTTTCCATTCCATTATCCCAATACAACCCCAATATATACCCTATAATCCCTATATATAACCCCTATAGTCCCTGTAGTCCATTATCCCAATATAACCAGGAAGGTCGGCTTCAAGGCAGGGCACCATGTGCCTGGGAACATTCAGTCTCACAAGGGTTATAATGGGATAATGGAAAGAAAATGGAAACTACAGGAATTATAGGGGTTATTTCGGGATTATAGGGTATATATTGGGGCTATATTGGGATAATGGAAAAGAAAATGGAAGCTACTATAATATAATAGGAACTAATATATATATATATAAATAACATAGGAGAGTGGTGGGGATGTGGCTTTAGGTTGGTCCCTGACTAAGTTCCGCCTCCCGCCTGAGTAAAAAGATCCGACAGGCGAGGACAAGGAGGACTATTGGAGCCCCTGTTCAAGGTTACCTCAGGATGATTCCAGGAGTCCCGGTATCTCCCACTTATGTGTCCTTGACAGGGGTTGTACCAGATGATAGGGACGAAGCAAATCTTTATCAACATCATCGGTCCCTTCTTGGGGTCCTCCAAACGAAGAACTTGCTGTTTTCCGGGTCTGCAGGGCTATGACAAAACCTCCTTCTACAAGTGTCCGTCAGCTCTTCCCTAGAGCCCCATGTCTTCACCCATTCAGAACACAGAGGATCAAGAGTTTAGGGTTTCGGGGTTTAGGCCTTAGGGTTTAGGCTCAGCAGATGTACATGCTTGACACCTTGAGCTTGTTGTTGAAGCCTTTCCAGGTGAACCGTTTGGTAGCTACCGTGTAACGATATCGTTCGTGGAGTATGCAAGACGCTGTTCGACTTGCCATCCCCCAATCTACCAAGGAAGCCCATATGGGACCCTCTTGAATGAACAGTAATCTATGCATACCCATTACGCTTGTTTGACGAAAGGTGGGAGACCCATTCTGGAGACCCTGACCTATATTCTCTAAATCCACAACTCCCAATCTTCCATCCCTACAAACTTGCATCCCTACAAGCCTTGCGGGTTATATGAGGGTTATATTTGGTTAATATAGAACAAAATGGAAACTACTTTTTAGGGTTTACTCGAGCCCTACAAACCTGAATCCTCGAATCAAGCACTGCAATCTGATCGTCTTCCCTAACGTAGACCCCGGACTAATAATAAGGGCCTTAATTCTAGGATCCCTATTCTAACCCCTATTAGGAGGAGGGGGGTTTATTAATCAGGGGTCTACACTAAGGCCTTCTGACAATAAGCCGTCTCTCCAGGAATTCCTGGCAAAACCCAACATGGCGCTGCGTCAAAAATTGGTGCCTGTGGGTACGTGCCAGTGGTTTGGGGCCTAGGTTACATCCACTACTCTGCCACTAGAAGGAGGCTCTTTTTGGCTTCCGTTAATCTTGCCCCACACCCTCCCGCCTACAATAGGTCGTCGGAAAATTAAAGGTGGACGTCCTCAATCAGGGTCCGCACGATTCCGAAGGCTCTGGGAATTGACTGGAAGGGTAGGACCGGATTCTGTTAGGGCCCAAAACCAAAACTGTTTGAAGAGGGTCGCGTAACATTGGCCTGAATCTCTGCCAGCTCCCCGCCGAAACACATTAAAGACGGCTTCTTCACTGAAGGAGGTGCAACAGCCCCTTTGACTTACGAGGGCTTTAGGGGCAACAGGTACATTTATGCAATCCCTGTATATACACTTACATTCTCTCCCGCTTAGATCCGCAAGGACCAGTCAGCTGAAAGGACTTCGCCAATGTTGGTTGTGTGCGGAAACCTACAAGATAGTAACCATCTTCTGGGCCCAGCGGATTCTCTATAGTGGCCTCTATAGAGTCTCCAGTCATGTGGTAGCTCCCATTTTCTTTTGTATTCATTCATTCCCTGCTAACAGCCAGCAAGTTGCGGCCTCACTTTGACAACATCCCAACGCCGGCCAGTGTTCCAGCGACCAGTAGCCGCACGAAGGCTTGAGTCACTGAGGCCTCAATCATGAAATTCCTCCCAGACTACATCAAGCCCGATTCCGACTCCATGGCACTGTCGGCTCCATTTCGAAAGCTGCCAAAATGTGTGAAATATTCTAGTTCTATGTTGTGCCCCCTGTATAACTTTGCACCTGTACCCTTGAAAGGATTGCATGTTCCGCGCGTAATCAATATGATGTTCCTGTACAGCCTTCATAAAGCCTTACACATTCCTCTTAAAATCCCCTGCAATATTCCTAAACACTTAGCCATAAACCTAAGCCCCCTACACCATGCTTTCTGAAGCCTAACCGTAAATCCTAAACCCCCCCCTCAGCCCCAAATCCTAAGCTCCTGCACCCTTTTCTTACTGGGGGTTAGTAGGGAATATGGGAATATATTACATAGGGGTTATATAGGGAATTTATTCCTTTATTCCCTACTAACCACCAGTAAATTTTTTAAACTTGCAGGCCTGTGCTGGCCTCTTTGCAGCATGCGGCACGACTGGCTGTGGCCTCGCGCGCACTCATTCCCAAATGCGTTTTTGGCTTCGTGAAATTCGGGGGGCGCTTGGGGATCCTGGGGGTATTCTGGGGTTTATAAGCAGAATGTGAGGATATGAGGATAATTTTTAGAAATACACATATGAGCAGTGTTGTTCTGCTTTGGTGCTTGACCAAGGTTTCCGGTTTTATGCTAGACGGCCATATTTCCTGGAGCTTGGGACGTGGGATCAGACAAATTTGGCCTCTGCTGGGGGTTCTTCCGGGTAAGACCCTACTCTCATTGGAATAAGCTATACAACCACAAGAAAAAATGTTGGCACTCTAAGATAGGGGGGGGCCTATAGAGCGACTTCTCAAATAGGACCCGGAGGGGGTAGGAACTATAAGGGCATTCTGGGGGTCCCAACTTTGGATTGGAAAGGAGTGATTTTGAGAAGCTCCCGTACAAGTTCCGAGGGTTTTCGGGGCTTGGTTTAGGTCCAGGTCTTTGGGACCATTTGTCAATTTAGTGGCCCGGGGTCTATCACAAAGCTCTTAATGTTCTGTCTCCAGATCAAAGCTGCTCTGAAAGTCTTGCAGAGCCCCCATCATCCTGTCACAAACCGTGAGCCCAAAGTTCCTGAATGGTACCTGATTCGGATTATCTTTTTTGGATTCTGGAAGAAGACCCCAT